AAAGAGTCGTTGGCCAAGGGCTGACCCCACAGTCCTCATGCTAACTCAGGGCTCCCGCTGTTCATGAATAAAGTGTGAGAGGGATTCAGGTGGTGGGTGCCCTGTGCTGGAGAGCAGTCACAAGGCCCACCCTGGACTGTCCCTGGGCAACAAGGAAGGGACATGCAAAGGCCCCCTGTATGGCAGCTTTCCAGTGGAGCTAGGCAGGCCTGGGGACTCAGGACCTCGTCATTTATTCTCTGGCCCCCTTATTTGGACACCTCCTCTCCAGAAATGGTTTTTTCCAGTCTTTCTTCTGCACAAAGAACAAACATTGACCCCATTTGATGTTAGAAAGGAAGTTTTTATACACAAGGACATGCATATGTACATACAAAGACATAAACCAGTTGTGGGCCACCCGTGCAGAAAAGCCTGTTTTCTATGGCATTAACTAAGGCAGCGTATTATCACACGCAAGAGGTTAGGACTGGTGCACTCCATGGTTACATGACAGCTCAGGACTCAGGATCACTCCTCTTCTCTGTTCTGCCATCCTAGCTCAGCTTCAGATCTCAGAGTTGTCCCCTACTGGGTGCGAGATGACTGCTACAGCTCTGGGCATCATATCCTCATCCACGAACTTCTAAAGGTACCCCTGCCTCTGCTCCTTTTTAAGAGCAGGAGAAATGTTCCCAGGAGCCCTCGGCAGTTTTCCCTTTAGTCTCATTGCCAGAATTGTCTCTTGCACACATCTGAGTCAGTGGCAGACAAGGAAAATGGAATCACTGTGATCGCTTCTCTAGACGGTCTAGCATGGACTCCCAGGCTGCCTGGGCACATCCTTGGCAGGAAGCAGACACAGATGGGGCTCAGCATGCAGAATCTCATTGGGAGGTGCCTATGATCAACACCTGCCGAAAGAAGAGCAGGAAGCTGGGTGGGCAGAGGTCGAGTGGTGGTGTGGCCTCAAGAATCCCTGGAGCTAAGAGCCGTAAGAAATGTATCACGATAGCCCTGTGCACCCTACTTGATGCATCAGTGACACAGCTGAAGCCTCTGCAGCCGAGGCAATCTTCAGAGGAGCTCCCTGCCAGCAGCTGGGACAAGTCCTTCCTTGAAGGAGCATCTGGGCAGCTCATGATGGGTGAGACCATCAGAGGTTCCACCACACAACTGATAAAAATCAAGAATTTGTCAGCAAGCAAGGAAGAGACTGTGGAATTAGAAGGGCACCCAGCAATGTCTGAAAGAGACAAATAAGGAGAAGGAAATACCCCAAAATGTTCACGATAGTGATTTTTAGATGGAAGCATTAGAAGTTTGTCTTCTTTTCTTTGTGCTATTCTATTAAAGTGAATATGTATTTATTTTATAGTAAAATAATATTTCTAAAGAAACCATGTTGTCAACAGAGAATAGGATTTAGAATACAAAGAGTCAGGCTCAGTCTCTTCCAGAGCAATGCCAGGGTTTGCTGCGAAAAATCCAGAAGAAAATGGATTTTAGAGACAGTCAGGGCTGAGTAGGTTGCAGTGGCTTCAGGGCTTGTCGTTGTCTCCTCCCTCCTGCGCACGCTCCAGCACCCTGAGAGTAAGGATTAGATACTGCCTTTCCCACTAATTAGCTGTGTGACTTTTTTTTTTTAAACAAGAATTGTCATATCGCCAGATTCTTCATCCGTGAAATGGATCTTGCCCTTAGCTAGCTCACAACTCTTATTTGTTAATGTTAGTAACTCCAGCTCCTCCAATAAACTCCCCAAATCTCAACGGCTTGGCAGAAAGTTTATTTCTCGCTCACACTGAATCCAGCCTGGATGTTCCTGGTTAGTGGGCAGCAGTCCACATGATCGTGCAGGGATCCAGGCTCCATCCACCACAGCTCTGCTGTTTCTGATTCATCAGTCTCTCCATTCCGCCACCAGGTGGGGAAAAAGAGGGTGGAGGATCATGGAGGGGCAGAGATGGGAGGTAGTTTTAGAAGCCAGGTCTGGACATTTTGTACATCACTTCTACCCCTATCCTGCTGGCTGGAGCCCAGTGATGTGGCCGCACCTGAAGCTAAGGAGCAGGGTCTGCCACCCAAGTGTGGATTTGTTGCTGTTTGGGTTCTTGGGTCTTAGCTCCTTAGCATCCAAGTCCCCTTCCCATACATGCGGAGCATGGGTAGCATGTGAGAGGACTGGGCCTCCCTTCTGCATGTGGAATCGCCTTCTCTCCCGGAATGAGTAGTCACATGCCTCTGCCCAGGGCTTTGACTCTTGAGAGATGAACAAAGGCACCAGGGACAAGTTAGAAATTATTCCCAGCAACAGTACCCAGAGTAGCTTTGTCCCAACACTCTTCCCAGTGTGGCTCAGCCCTGGCTCACACCCTTAGGCATCCATGTCTTGCCGAAGTTCTAGTCTTCCCACCAGCCATTCCCTTTCCACACCAGTTAGCGTGGATGTTGCTATGAGGTTGGTGATGTAATACTGAACTCTTAACTCTTCCAGAAGCTACAGAACTAAGTTTCAGCCCTTGCTTTGCAGTTTCTCGGTGAGGTTAGTGAGGATGCAGCACCGTTATGTCACTTTAGATGCAGGAGATAGAAAATGTGCCGGAATTTGCATGCTTTTAGTAAGGAAATATGGTTCCCAAGTGCCATGACAATGTGGCTAAGGGGAATCTGTTTCTGGAATCCCTTCCTCGTGTAGTTCCAGGAAGACATAGCAGTAATGGGTCAACCAAGCAGATCCATTGGTCAGCACGGTGGTGAGGAGGCAGCCGATTCCTGCAACTCCTGCCTGGCCTCAGTTCTTCCACGTCCTGGGCCTGATGTATGTGGGCTCCACAGGAGAGGCCTCAGTTTGGCCTGTAGATGGCCCCTCACCAAGACAGGAGGTAGGGAA